GGCCATGCTTTGCTTCAGGCGGCTCTTGTGCCAGTTTGTTCTCTCTGCCTTCTCTGCTCCTCACTTTTGTGGTTGAATGATGAGAGCTGAGAGATCTTGAGAATTGAGCTCCACCTTCTCTGACTCTGCTAATGAAATGGGCATGCAACTGAATCTGCTGCTTGTACAAATGTGTTTGATTGTTGGTGTCTTGCCATTCCACGGATCTGCAGGTAACAAGTTTGAATTTTTAGTGTCTGGGTTGGTTTTTTTATACTTCAATATATTTGATCAAGTACAATAACCTATTTGAGGATCTGGGTTCTCTGAAGCAAGTGTTTCTGTGATCAAGAAATTGGGCAAATGGTTCTCATGTTTCAATGTTTTTCTTTCTATCATATCATTTCCTTTGCAAGTGATCATGGAACACAAACGATCAATTGGATCACTTGCAATGGTGTTTGGTTTTATTCATAACTCTGTTCTTTGAGCTTGGAAATTCATCAGTTTGATCTGAAACCCTGGGCCACATTTCTGCAGGTCATTTTCTGGTGATTTTTAATTTCGAAAATGACAAAAATTATGTAGTGAGGAAGGGTGCATAATTTCAATAACTTGCCCTGAGCAGTTCCTTCCTGTACTTGCTTATTCTAACTTCTGAGCAGTAAGAGTTATTGCTCAAATGTGACAGGATTCCTGAAGCACCGAAATATTTATCAGTTTAGTCATTTTCATAAAAGGTGAAGATTTGATCAACATTGTGAATTACACCTTTCCAGCTGAAATAAATGTCAATATTGTAACTTCAAAATTGCACTCTGAGAGCCTCTCGCTCAGTACTCTGCCATCAGAAGCATGGTCCCTTTCATGGTTGATAAGTTAAATAGCTGTTTTCTGATACGTTAGATAGCTGTTTTGCCTCTCTCCTCAGAACTAGTTATGATCAATTATTTTCTGAATGGATGTGTTTGTATGCTACAGAACATGCCGTCTCTCCTAAATCTCCTCTCAGCTTTGGCTGGAAAAGACACGAAAAGTTAGTAGCGCTACCTCCCAGAAAAGCATTCCACCACATATTGCCTTCAGACTACTCCCCGGATAAAGGTAATGGAGTCTAAACTAGTTTTATTTGCCAACTTTGAACTAGCAAATGAAAAAAATGTGCCTTTTCCTATTACTAATTCAGATTCTTTTCTTTTTATAGCCATCCATCCTCATAGGGCCATATGGCCTTCAAGTATTGCAGTTCCACCTACATCCTCTGAAGGTCCTGCAAAGAAATGGGTGGATGGTCCTATATCTTCTCCTTCAATTTCACATCACAAGCATCACCACAAAAGGAAAAAGTTCCACAGCTCTGCTCCAGAACCAACTTACAGTCGACAAGGTTCAAAACTTTGGCGTTTGTCTTACCAATAGATGTACAGTTCATTCATGAAATGTATTTATCTGAAGAATATTTTTGAAATGTATAGGCCCTGCAGTCTCCCCCCTTCAATCCCCCTTCTCTTCAACAAGTAGCTGGGCTGCAGCTGCACCATCACCAACAACTCTCACAAGCCACTATAATAGTATGGAAGCCTCATTTCAGTTTGGTAGCTTTAACTATAGTGTACTTACTTTATCTACCTAACTATGATTCGAATTAAGTTGTGATTTTTTTTGTCTCTTCTAGTGCCCGTTTTTCCACCTACAGTTTCTCCAGTGGGTTCTTCCCTGAAGAATACAAAGGCCCCACCACCATCACCAATTCTGGCACTACCACCTCCACCTCCCAGTGAAGGTATGTACTCTGCCTTTCTATTTTATTCGAAAATAGTTCAAAATTTTTATTTCAAAAAATAGTAACTATGCTTAAACATACGTGTAGATTGTTCATCAATCACATGCACAGAGCCATTAACATATACACCTCTTGGCTCAAGCTGCGGTTGTGTGCGGCCAATTCAAGTTCAACTCCAACTCGGCGTTGCAATATACACATTCTTCCCTTTAGTTTCAGAGCTGGCTGAAGAAATTGCAGCCAGTCTGGCACTAAACCATAGCCAAGTTCGAATTATGGGAGCAGATGCGGTCAGTCAGCAGCTAGAAAAAAGCGCTGTCCTCATTAACTTGGTACCTACAGGAATAACATTTGATGGCACTACTGCATTCCAAATCTATGAACAGTTCTGGCGCAGACAGGTTTCCATAAAGCCTTCCCTCTTTGGAGATTATGAAGTTTTCTATGTTCACTATCCAGGTCTTCCACCTTCTCCCCCTTCGGTATCCTCAAGCATTTCTACTACAGATGACGGGCCATACACTGGAAAAGACAACAATGGAAGGGCAATAAAACCTTTTGGAGTTGATGTACCAAGGAGAAAAAGAGATGGGCTCGGAAAAAGTATGATTGCTGTGATTGTTGTATCATCTTTCACAGCCTTTCTTTTATGTGTCGGAGTTGTTTGGCTTTTGTTGCTGAAATGTGGATCATGTCACTCACATCAACTGGAAAAGTTTCCACAAACTTTGACATCCTCTCCTACAAAACTCTCAGGTATTTGAAATGCAGCCAAATTCTCCCTGACCTTAAGGCAGTTTACTCACAACAAGCTTATAACATTAATTTTATTTTGAGCATGTTGCGCAACTATATATAATCTATAGCGAGATGTTAATGGATGTTCCTTTCATTTTTAATCATTATTCCTTCATAGTACAGTTGGAACTCTTCGAAGTTACTCCGGAATATTGACATTATCTACTCAACAGGGCCTCCGAGGTCGGTGATGTTTGGAAGCATGCGTGGTTCTGGATCAACATCTTTGAGTTCTGGCACACTGAATTATACTGGATCTGCTAAAACCTTCACTTTGAACGACATGGAGAGAGCCACTAATAATTTTGATGCTTCAAGAATACTTGGAGAAGGTGGTTTTGGGCTTGTTTACAGTGGCATTTTGGACGATGGAAGAGAGGTGGCAGTGAAGGTTCTCAAGAGAGAAGATCATCATGGTAGCCGTGAATTCTTGGCGGAAGTTGAGATGCTAAGCCGTCTTCACCATAGAAATTTGGTTAAATTGATTGGTATATGTACTGAGGGCCATACTCGCTGCCTAGTCTATGAACTCGTTCCAAATGGGAGTGTTGAATCCCATTTACATGGTAGATACAAGTTTAAAAAAATTAATTTCTACATCAATACTTCAACATTTGTTTGGTTGAAATGCTAGATATTTAGTTGCTTAAATGATTGGACACAGCTTTGAATTATGAGTGGCTTATTCTTGTGTTCTCTCAGGCATTGACAAGGAAACTGATCCGCTTGATTGGGATGCCAGAATAAAGATTGCCCTCGGTGCAGCTAGGGGCCTAGCTTATCTCCATGAAGACTCAAATCCTCGCGTAATACATCGTGACTTCAAGGCTAGCAATATCTTGTTGGAATATGATTGTACACCCAAAGTTTCAGATTTTGGATTGGCTAGAGCGGCATTAGAAGAGGGAAAGAGACATATTTCAACACATGTTATGGGAACGTTTGGGTATGAACTTCTTTACCATCAAGTATATATATATATGTGTATGTGTTTGTGTGTGTGCGCATGCATATATACAAGTTATACGTATGCCAGACATTTTTGATATGTTATTGTCTAAAAACCAGTGATATAATGAATTCTTAATGGAATTGTGTGCCCCAAGTCGTACATAAATATAGCAACTTATTAGTTTTACATAAACATGCTCTATCTTGTTTCTTGGTCCAGTTATTTAGCTCCAGAGTATGCAATGACCGGCCATCTCTTAGTGAAAAGTGACGTTTACAGCTATGGTGTAGTCCTTCTTGAGCTTCTATCAGGGAGAAAACCTGTGGACCTGTCACAGCCTCCAGGCCAAGAAAACCTTGTTGCTTGGGCTCGCCCCCTCCTCGCAAGCAAGGAGGGGCTAGAAATGATAATAGACCCAGCCTTAAAGCCATCCGATATCTCATGGGATAGTGTGACCAAGGTAGCAGCAATTGCTTCAATGTGTATACAACCAGAAGTATCTCATCGGCCTTTCATGGGCGAGGTTGTGCAGGCCTTAAAGCTAGTATGCAACGAGTTCAAAGAAACACAAGAAGTAGGAGCTTCAACAAGTTGTGGCCAAGATGATCTCTTCATTCATATAGATAGTGGCAACTTGGAAGTCTCACAATCACAGCAGGAGCAGGAGCTGCCGGGGTTTGGTGCTGGCCTTGGCACCAAGATACCATCAACATCAGATCTTTTAAGTGCACCTGTGGGACTTGAGGTTGAGGGGCCGGAATTTGGGTCCTTTAGGAGGTACTCTAGTTCAGGGCCACTGAGGACAGGGAAGAGGAAGCAGTTTTGGCAGAGACTAAGAAGTTTGTCTAGAGGCAGCATGAGTGAACATGGATTTCCAATGAAATTATGGCTCTGAAGCCACATAAACTGGTGTTTGTTGTATCTTCTTTTCATTTAAAGTGCACCTCCCTTAAGAGTTTGAGGCATAAATAGATTTACCATTAGTAATGGAAAGGAGATATTCCAAGAAAAAGGGAGCAAAGAAATATGAAGAAAGGGTTTATTTTTAGGGAGATTCACTTTTATACCCAATATAGGGGGTCCAAATTATAGAAAAACTCTACATGAAATGAACTTTAAAAACACACCTAAAGCCCGTTTATAACATAACGAAGATGCTTCGAACTTTCTATAAATTACAAAATTGCCATCAATTTCTTAAAACAAGTCAAATGTCAAAACCTCATAAAAAAAACCCCAAACACTCGATGGGCATCAAAGTAATTTAATAATTAAAATTAAATTCAATAGAGCCAGCTGTCATATTTTGGGTTTGTTTATAGAAATTAAGTAGTTTAGGGTTTATCTATATCATTAGTGCTAAGAATGGGTATATAACTTAATATCTTTTTTTTTTTATAACAAGAAAACCACTCAAAATAAATTTAATTTTCTTGGTTAAATAAGCAGAAGGTATTTGTTCTGTTTTTTTTCTTGGGAGAAAAGTTGTTAAGATTATAGACTACGAGATAATATTGAATAATAGATTAAAATGTATTTTCACACGGCAAGCCAATTTTTTACACATTAGAGCTTGCTAAGAATCAAACAACCAAAACTACATCACACACTGTTTCAACCAACCCTCAGTAACTCTCATCCTGCTGACTACAAGGTCTTATTTCCTTAAATTATATACCAGCTGCTCTTCCCAATCTGTGTCTCAAGATCTTCGCTCCAAAGTACCTGCATATCAAACAACACATAACAAATTAATTTCAATTTTCACTTATTTTCTTTCTAAGAAGGGGGAGGCAATTCCACCCAAACATGATTGTTCATATGATCATATGTATACATACCTGCCCATCATCATGACAGTGGCTTGAGGATTAGTCCCTGGGGATTCAGAAAATGTCGAGCTATCGACAATCCGGACCCTGTCTACACCAAGAACTTTGTGCTTACGGCTAACCACAGTGCCCACATGAGCACCTCCATGGTAGTGCCAAATAGTGATCACAGTGTCTTTGCAGAACTGCTCCAAGGACTTTGTGTCATTGGTATGCTTAGGGATGAGATTAACATTAGCCTCGACACTCATGTTAAGCACCTTCTCCACAGTTTGCTTGTTACATCTTGTGTAGTTTGTGAAATGCTCCGATTGCACAACCTTCGTGGCTACACGGATTCCATCAACACAGCGTTGAAGATCGTACGGGTGGCTGAAGTAATTGAAGGTGACAGAGGGGTTATCATCAACATTAGTGTTGACCAAGCTAAGGTCACCTTTAGAAATTGGGTTGGCAATTTTTTCTAGAATGAAGCCTCCTTTGAATGCCTCATGGGGCAAGTTTCTCTTGCGCCTAATGTATGCTTGAACTGCTTCTGGGGTTCTTTGCTTTGGTGGAATAGTAGATAGCTGCCCAATCTGCAAGTCATATAACAAAATGCAGTTCATGAAACAGAGAAAACAGAAATAAAATCCATGAGAATCTTATGAGTATTGAGCATCATGAGAAACTTCTCAATGTGACGTAACATCATCATGTGGTGTTACCAATCCATCCATGTTATAGCACTTAGACTAGTCACATCGGTGTTAGGATCACACGAAACAATTTCTCGAGCTTCATTATCAAATACCAATACGTTAATTACTTACCTCAGCTGACATGATTCCATGGTGGCATTGAATACTATCCTTGGACTGACTAAATCCACTGCTAGCTTCAATGTACACACCCATCTTGGTTATCCCTACAGTTTGAATTAGTGTCTGCTTTTCTGCTTTGTTACTAGGGACAAAGATTGCATTCATTGGATTATCAGCCATGCCTTTCCCAACAAACTTATTATCAAGCACCACTGGAATCTTCAACTTTTCAAGGTCAGCTTTGGGTCCAATTCCACTTAGCAACAGCATTTGAGGGCTTCCAATTGCTCCACTGGACAATATTACTTCACTCTGTGGCTTATCAGCAAGAACTGCTTCATGTTGGTTCCCATTTTCATCTTTAAAGATCACTCCCACTGCCTTTGGTCTCGTCACTATATTAATGAAGAAAAAAAAAATACTCTTCTTTTAATCATTAAATCCAATAAAACTAAATCTTAAATTGATGAAATGTGAATTAATTGACATATATGACAATTAGTAACAGAATTTATGCTCCAAACTATGTGACCAATTGACATCAAATTTCAGATGTAACTAGCATTACCTGATGTGTCAAAAACAATTCTTTGAACAGTGGCATAGACCAAGACAGTAAGCTTCCGAGGGTTCCCAGATGACAGCAGTTCAGCAGCAGTGTGACGACGACCGAATCTGTCGAAAATGGTTCCACCAACCTTGGTTCCATAGAGGTGATCATAAGTGAAGCCATTAAAAGGTGAAATTCCAACATCCAAAAGACTGTCCCTTAGAGCCACCTGCCATGGCTCAAGCTTAGGCTGGTGAACAATTTGCTTCTCAATCCATGGGTAGGACTCATTTACTAGCTTGGCATCCCATCCCACTCTCTCTATAAACCTGCACATGCCACAATATATAGCTTCAACATCAAACAAAGGAAGCCTGTTTTCCCAATTTTCAGGTAAGGCTGGTTTTGGGTTGCATTTAGACCAAAAATTAAGCATGCACACACACCCAATCTTTTTGAATGACCATTTTATGGGTCAACCTCCATTCTTTATGACATGGGTTCAAAAGAACTTTATTTATTTATAATTTTTTTTGGTTTTATAAAATAAAGTTCTTAATTTTTCAAACACAGAAAAGAAAATGGTTTGATCACTTGAGTTTTATTTCCCAATATAATATTTTTTTTAATGTTCAGAGACAGAACTAACCAAGGAACACTTTTCAGTAGGTTCAAAGCCACATTGACTATGGCTTTAGCTACCTTAAATGTTACACTCATTTAGTCTAACAATCAGAGCACGTAATCACCTCTCCCTTCATAAAAATGTCAATTAATTTAGAACATGGGCAAACTCAACTAGCATTTAATATATAGAAGAAGAAGAAAAGAGAGAGAGAGAGAAAAAAAAAGAAGTGAAATTATAAATGTCTTGATATTATTGAGTACAAGACACATGCATTGTAATGAATATCATATGGTCACCATCCATACATCGAATCCTGATGAGGAAATTATAAAATCAATGTGGGTTTGTTTTTGTTGGACATATTTTCAAGCAGTGTAGGCTGATCCATAGCCACACATTTTTGTTTAAACCATTTATGTGTTACATCATTAAGTGACATAATCCTAGGCTGGATTCTTTATAAGGTAATCTAGTAGATAAAGACCTTTTTTTTTTTTTTCTTCCCTAAATGTGGATCATAATTAATTTAAGTAGGACATAGGTCTTAATGTTTTCAAACTTAATTATTTTGTTATAAAAAT